GGGTTTTAGGGTTCAGGCTTAGGGGCAACAGTCTTTTGCCACACTTTTTCCTTTGAGGCCTTCAGCTTAAGACTGCCAGTCAACACACCTGAGCGGACACGTGCTCAGAGTTTGATGCAGATTGGCGTTTCAGACCCAGGGCTTGGGGAGTTTTAGCAACAGTTGTTCTACTTGTAACCTGAATCTCTAAGTTGCACTGCGTCTCTGCGGCTGTGGCCACTGGGTCACCCGACCTGCACAGCCAACGGAATCCTCAGCACATTGATAGGGTCGCGGGTTTAGTGTTCAGGGTTCAGGATNNTTAGGATTTAGGATGTAGGGTTTTGGGTTTAAGGTACTCGCATTCTGAACAAGGTTCTGGCCAACTCGCAGCACCTGATCGACAACCCTGTTTTTCCCTTAAAGCCCAAAATCGTTATCCCGGCTGCATTTCGTCCACCGTCTGAGCCAAATTCCACACATTCGTCAGACTCATTTTTCTTTAACCGTAGAAAAGGGCGCGTCGTTTTTGGCCATGCCCCTGGGGGCCCGGGCCCCAGACCCTTGGGGGCCCGGATCGCAGGCCACCCAAAGGTCACTTCGCTATGCTGGAAGGGCTAAGTCTAAGCATCAAGCCAGGCTCTTCACCAATGGGATGCAGTGTTGGTCCATGTTGGTCCCACAGTCCCGGCGAACCTGGCTCGTTGCGCCTGAAAACAGCAAAGCTGCGGAGTCCCGGCAGCCTAGATTGAACTAATCTTGTCGCGCCGATTGGTTTCGGTTTTCAGGTTTAGGGTTCGCCGTTGTTGGGTCCTGACTCCAGACCTCTGGAAACCCGGGTCCGAGGCCTCTGCCCCGGGCCCAAGGGTTTGCCTGCCCCACTTTGGCCGGTATGCTGCAAGTGTGACGTTGTGGGTTGTGCTCATCAGGGTGCCCACCCCAAGGCAGGCTCTCATCAAGGCCCGGACACGTCTGCAACACTTGCAATGTTGGTCCTGCACCATCCTCCGACTGGCAAAGCAGCAGAGCGCAACCTGCATTGGAAGCCGTGGAACCGTGTTTTTGGTGGTGTCAAAAATTGTGACGATTTTTGGCTGCATTTTTGAAGCTTTCCCCCCTGCTACGGAAGGTTTGGGGCAATTTTTCTCGGACCAGCCTCATCACATAGTTGGGCCTTCGTTTCCTTCTTTTGGAGAACTTCAACATACCTAGACCTTTGCATGTGTGCTGGAATCTCAAGTGTGTGGTGTCAAGAAGAAAATTGAAGGCCCAAACAGGCCCATGATGCTCACCATGCTGGCTCTTGGGGGGCTGCTGGGACCTCAAAATGCATTATATACCTCAACAAAACGTCCAAAATATGAGCTGTGGGCAGCGTTTGTGCTGAAAAATAACAGCGCTGGTAGCACCTGCGCTGCATGAAAAGCACGCGAAAGTCCGAAAGGCTTTGCATGCATTGCCCACGCCAAGCCCTACAAACTGCGCACGCTGCAAGGGCTTTTGATGTATTTCGCCCATATGTCCCGCACTTTTGTGGCTCCTACACTGTAATTTTTGTAGGCCCTCAATAGAGTGATTTAGACCCCTTTAGAGGAGAATCAAGTGGAAAATGAAAAGAAAACTGGAATGCTATGGTGGCTTATAGGAACTCCTTGATAGTGTTAGCCCTACAAATCGCCAGACGGCGACTCTTCCGACGATATTGATGCCGTTGGCAATTCTGTAGCATTGCCGGTCCTGCATAGAGAGCCACAGAACGAGCAACACTTACTGCACTAAATCCTAAACCCTAAAGCCTACACCCTAGAACCTCAACCCTAAACCCGTTCCCAAAGTGAATTGTGAATGCCATCAAGTTACAGCTGCTGCTGCCATGGACGTCTGAAGAGCGCGAAGGCAAGACTCGAAGTCTTTGCTCTTCAAGGTTGTAGCCTGGATACTCCCAGGAGTTTAGGGTTTAGACTGTAGGAATTCGGATTTCAGGTTTAGGGATTTAAGGTTTAGGGTCTAGGGTTTCGGATTTAGGCTTTGGGCTTCGGGTCGAGGATTATGGCTTAAGATCTAGGATTTGGGTTAAGAGTTCACGGAGGGACAATAAATTGCAATGCAATCGTCCCAAGGATTTGGCAGAATGGTTCCAAAGTGGCAAGACTGTTGATGTCAACACGAAATTGGCACCATCATTATGGCAACTTATCCGAACTTCAGTGACAAGGTTTCGGGTACTTGGGGTCATGCAGGATTCTTGGCATCCAACAGATGTAGGAGGTTTCGGATTTAGAGGGTTTCGGGCTTGGAGTGTAGAACTAACTACTGTTCAAAGCTAAAGGTTTAAGGTCTGTTTTTCCTGTATGATTAGGGACTTTGAGGGCTTGCAATTTGAGGCTTACGGTCGAAGGTCTCAAGTTGGTGGTTTGGGGTTGAGGTCTAGGCGTTTAAGGTTCAGCGCTTAAGGTTTCGGGTTTCGGGTTTTAAGGCCTAGGGCTTAAGAGTTCAGCATTAGGGCTAAGGATTCAAGGTCTAGGGTGTAAGTAAAACTCAAACTTTGGCTTTGAAGGCTTAACGTTTCAACTTTCAGGCTTAAGACTCAAATTCTAGAGTTTCAGGTTTAGGGTTGGCTTCAAACCCTAAACCCCGAACCCTAAAACCTACACACCAAACACTAACCCTAAACCTTATACCCTCACCCTAAACCCGAACCATCAAATCCTAAAACCCCCAAATCCAAATCCTAAAACCCTAACACCCTAAACCTGAACCCTCACATCCTAAAACCCTAAAACCCTAAACCCTAAACCCTGTGCCAGAGGATCAAGGCCCTAGCACTGACAGAGGCCGCGCGCTCGGCATTCCGAAGCCAGGCATCCTTGTAACCACAGGGCTCCCCAAGTCAGTAACCTTACTTTTCTTGCTGCTTCTTAGTAGGGAATATACATAAATATATATATATATATAGGGTTGAGGGTTGAGACCTTAGGGTTAGTAGGGATAAGGGAATTGTTTATATAGGGACTATACAGGGATTGCATTCCCGTATGCAGTACTATACCCACAATCGAGGTTCAGGGTGTAGGGTGTAGGGTCTGGGGTTTCAGGGTTTCAGGGTTTTGCGGTTTAGGGGTTGGGGTTTAGGGTTTAGAGGAATATCAGGGGATGATACAGGGAATATAAAGGTTTTCTCTAAGGCTTACGTACGAGGGTATCTGGGCTATGTAGAGTCCAATATTGAGATTGCGTTGCGATCATTTTATGCTACCATCAGTACCCTTCTTTCGGTCTTCTGCCAAGATGTCAGCAACCTTCTTCATGCTACATCGCAACTACGATTCTTAACTCGGCTACACTTCCATACCTGAAGGTTGATGGGATGTTGTGACTGCAAACTGGATTTGTAACCCTCAGAAACGCCCTAACTGGCCTTATGCAGACTTCCCAGGGACTCAGACCCCCCCACCCACCCACCATAAATGGTTACAAGGTCTCATGCACTCCAAGCCCCTCTGGCTTCAAAATTGTAACTCCCATAGCCCCCTTAAGTAGATAGCATATGGGGTATGGGAATCTACTATAATATACCCAAAGCCATATTCTATCTACTTAAGGGGGACTATAGTTTCTGGTCATATGAGAGTGGTTCCGAAAATTAGGGTCCCATTTTGGTACCCCTAGGTACGAGGTGCTGCAATATAATCTATAGCC